CGGCCGGCTCGTGAGCAAAACCACCGTGTGGTGAGTAAGCCAGCAGAGCAATAACATCTTCAACGGATTGATGAAGAGCGTTCCAAGATTATATTGAGCGCTACAAGATCGCAAGTCTCCATTTCTCCGAGGAAAAGGTGGAGCGATGTGTGGCTGTTAAGACCCTTCGCGATCTTGGACTCTACCTCCTTGTTTCGTTCTACAGGTGGTCTGAGATCGACGTGGAAAAGTTTATTCTAGGTGGATATGGCAGAAAAAGAGGGTACAGGATGATCGCGTGAAAATCGCAGATGGTTTCAATGTAACGTAATTTCGGCGGTGAATCCCTTATGGTTTGAGGCACCTTTGAACGACTGAGTAGCTAGAGCTCGCTTTTGTTTCCGTTCACAAAGATTCCACAGGGTATCGTGAAGTTCTTTCGAAGCGAGAGTCTTACCATTTTTTCAACAAGGATCCCCTCTATCCTTGATTTTCACACACGATAACGCGGCTGTCCATGCCGGTCCCTCCGCGCCAGATGGAATTGCAGGAAAAAATGTGGCAGTTATCTGGTGGCCACCATGTTATCTGAATTAGATTCCAATAGAGAATCATTGGGCCTTAATTGTTATAAAGTTCCACAGCAAAGTAAAGCAAAATGGAACAGCCGAAAAGCTGAAAAGGTCGATCATCGGCGCCCAGACGAATTTCGATCCTACTGTAATAGCTAATTTGGCTACCAGCATTTCAAAACGTATTATTGTGTTCCTTATGATTATTGGGGGGTCATCCCATTATTGAAAATTCGTGACGTTTTTTCGTTATAGTAAAATCTCTCGACAAGTGATGTGTAGTCATATTTGCGAAACGGTGAAAATACGTTCTAAGGAAGATATTTTAATAATTCTGAATCGAGATTTCTCCAGAAATCAAGTATCAAGGTTTTTCGTTATGGGGAAACTGCTCGGTAATAGTGGCATTTCGCGCAAACTTTGTGGATGCAAAAAGATCTAGGGTGACCTATACATATATATACGAAGGTGTATGATATGTATAGATATATTACACTATATATATATACAGGGGTGGCCAAAAAAAAAGAGACACTTCACTCAACATTCAAAACGGAATTATTTACGCGTCGCGAAACCAAACCAAATGACCCAACTGAATATTGAAGAGCACGTTATAATCTATCAAACAAGCTACACAACAGCCTTCTACACCGACGACATCAGAAGATTTTCCCACGGAAGCATTGTGCGCGGTACGATCTCAACGAGGTCGTTGAGATACCATAGACGATTACGACGTCTCTGAAACGCAGGTCAAAAGCGGTTTTGCACATTCACAGCTAATGTCTCTGGGAAGCTATTCAACAATTAATTCACTGAGGAAATTGTGTAGCAGCTTCAGGTCGGAGCGATTTCGGTAAGCCTCGTTGAGCTCGACGGTGACGGCAGATGACGTCATATTCTGGAGACGGCAGGGGCAGTGAAGGAGTGCTTGCTTCTGTTTACGGAGGAACAACTAAGGAATATAACGCCATAAAACTTTCATTAACATCGGCTCCCTGTGTGACGAAAAGTTCGATGATGTGCGCCATGGGCTGAGTGTCTCTTTTTTTTGGCCACCCCTGTATATATATATATATATATATATATATTAAGTATATATATATATATACATATGTGCATAGATTTATTATACAGTAAATATTTGTAACGCATTCTAAACGCTGAACAAATACAAGTATAAATACAAATATGAATATAAAGGTAACGGATGCCTTCAACTCCGTTAAAAGCGTTGCCGAGGATGCATACTTAAGATCGCAACTTGCGAGTAAAAGTTCAATTCGACAGTACTACACCTGCTCTCAGTTATGCAGGAAAGACCTAAGTCCAGACAAAATCGATAGAAAGGCAAGTCCGCTCAGGCATCAATAGAGCCATCAATGTTGGACTGAGTCTAAGACGTTCCCCTCCACATTGATGAAGCAAAGCACAGATTTGCTGGACGCTTGATGAGAAGAAATGACGGCGATAGAGCACCGTTACTGCGCAGTGGTATCGTGAATGAAACGACAGCCTGGCGGTTGAACAGACTTCCTGGCATACCGTAACAATGAAGTAGGTTGAGCGGAAATTATCCACTGCTCCATGTGTTTCTTCTTCTATGCCGTACGGGTTTTATGGTGGAATCCGTTTGTTGGTCAGGGTTTCGACAAACCGTCTTACGTAGCACCAGAGACTTTCTTGATCTTCTCCGCTCTTGTAGATTTCAAGAAAACTGTGTGGCAGAGTCATTCGATGTAACTGCGCTTTATACGAACGTGAACAATAGTGAAGCGCTCTCTGAAATGTTAGATGAGCATGGTGCAGAAATTGTAACGTTCGGATTGAGCAAAGTGCACATTATGACCCTGATCAAGGAATGCCTAAACTTGTAACATTTTCAAGTGGAGTGGACAATACTTTTCACAAAATCGGGGGCTTGCAATGGGGCAGCGTCTAGCACCAGTTTTAGCTATCTGCTTTATGGGCAGAATAGAACACCGGTGATAGCACGCATGCCCATTATGTACTGTCGATATATTGATGACTTGCTGCGTAATTACTTCAACACAATTTGAAATGGATGAATTATTCAGCATACTCAATCAACAATCACAGTACATAAAGTTCACAGAGAAGCTCCACACAATGGTTGGCTACCTTACTTGAACACACAGATAAAAATCTCGAACGGTACGTATAGTGTGAAGTGGTACCGAAAAAGCAGCTCAAAAACATCCTACTTCCATGCAAAGTCTGCACACCCCAGTGCTGTTGGCGGTTGTTCGAAACATGTACAGAACAGCAGTTGGAGTTTGTACAGGCACGTGGAGCGAGATGAGTCACGTAAGCTAGCTTCCGAGATTGCAAAGCGAATGGTTATGGAACGCGAAGAATCAGGTTCACAGAAATCCCGCGAGAAATCGCGAAGGTTCACAGAGGGCATTCCGCGAGAAGTCGCGAGAGATGGCGCACCTCCAATTGCCTTTCATATCGGATAAATTAGCATGGCTATACGGCAGTGCATTGCACGAGCGGATCTAGCTGATGACGTAGTTTTGATTAATATACCAGGAGATAATATCAAACGTCAGCTGATCCGCATTAGACTCACGAGCCGCTTGTCGAAACGTTGATCACAATAAACGGGTTCCACCATAAAATCCTGTCCGCACAGAAGAAGAAATACACAACATCGAAATACCCAGGCTCCAAGAAGACCTTAGTGAGTGCTCTTAAAATTATTGGTGTGCATGGAGTCCCATTTCGTGGAGTCCTGTAGGTCACCTATGGAAGTATCGCCGCAATATCATCACAGAAAGCAACCCAGACTTTCGCACCTATTCCAAACAAATTACAAGCGTAAATTAAACAGCCTGCCATCGAGCATTGCTTCGAAAGCGCGTGTTTAAGTCGAGGCTGCCCGAATAAACCTTCATCTAGAAGAAAACCAACCTGAATGAGTTTGTCAACCAGCATGGTGCCATCGCGATGAAGCCTTCCTTTCATCCACTGCCTTACTGGCAAATGTATCGCCATCTTCTCACCTTATCCAAACTTTATTGCGCCCAGAAGTGCTAAGTTACGAGCGAATCTAGATTCAAGAAGAGGTACTGTTTTGAACTGCCTTCAAAATTCTTCTACAATCGTTGGTAGTAAACGCACGCAAGCGTGCGAAATTTGAAGAACACCTAAAGACGTGATATCACTTCAAAATCCATGAATGGAGCAACGGATTTTCTAAATTGCGTCACAATTACTCTTCTACTGAACGCAACACTGCGAAATGCATAGATTGCCCATTCTTCGTGATACCCGCGCGAAGCATTCTTGAACTGTAATCTGAAGATTTGTTAGTGACAGACGTTCATTGCTGAAGGCACTTCTGCTGATCATCATGAGTAAATGATCATTTTCTCAGGGTGAGTTTATAATTATTAAAGGGTGCAAAAACCAGAAATCTATCATAAAAAGGTCCCTTAAGAAAAACGGTGCTGCTGTCAAAATTCGGAAACGGGGTTATTCGTGCCGAGGTCCGTTGGGTCACTCTTATAATAAGTCATGTAATCAGTCATAAATATTAGCATTCTATATAATCATTACTATAACTACTTACAATAATAGAGTGAACTCCTAATTATGATTCACGCTTAATGAGGGAAGTGAATAGAGAGAAAAAGGGCCATAGAAAACAATGGAAGCGATCGCCATGCAAGCCCTCGAAGGAAATGTCTTTCTGGTGTCCGATTTTGCAAAAAATATTGTATTGGTACCCCTTAATCGTATACTCAGTGTCTGTGCTCTGAATATTGATTAGATATGCATACACTACCGTAACTCTACTTTGATTAGATATTATGAGTGCCCCCTCGTATTATATGCTCATCTTCGAACGCTGGTTTCATTGAGAAAGACTTACGAGCAACTGAAAACTGATAGGTTCGCCCCGCACACTAACACCTTGCGCGTGCACATGACCTAATCTGTAAGGGAAGGGGTGTAACGAAAGTCGAACTCCAAGACGTTTATTGAACAAAGGGCGCGAAGCAAATGCACTAAATCAGTTGGACTTATATATGGAGCAAATTTTAATTATGTCTCATATCCCGGAAATAAAAGACAACATTTTTCTCTGAATGTAGCATTTTGACATCAACAAAAGTCCTTATATGATGATCTATCACATATTTGGGTGGAATGACTAATCTCAAGGCTCCTGTGGAATTCTCAAAGGAATTCAATAATGCGAATTGTTCGAAGTTCGTAGAAATGTGGTGACACTCCCACCCCAAAAAGAAGTTTGCCACTAATATCGATTTCAGTGCAGAGTAAGATGAGGGTTAACTATTTTTTCTTTTTGATTACGATTTGTTGTGATTTTCTTCTGAAAGCTAAACGAAGTAAAGATACGATGATAGGCGAAGTAACAATTAGTATGAGTATGAGCTTCCAATTTTTCAACCATGTCCAAATGGTGGCCATTTTGCCAATAATTGAGTTTCCGATGTCGCGGGTGAACGATACGATTCCTTTTTCTTCCGATCGGCGATGTTTTCCTTGTGAGACATCATTCTGGAGGCGTGGCTCGGTGACGAATTGCAATTGACCGTGTACGTCGAAAAAGGTCTCTCCTGCTGGACACTTCACGCTGCAATTAGTATTGATATAGCTTTTTTGAAAATGAAAGGTGAGCTTTGAAATATGACCTCCCGGTTTACAGACTGCGATTTGGTTTTGATTTTCACATTTTATCGTAGCTATTTCTTCTGTGACTGAGGAGGTACACGAGATTTCAATATTGGCTCCGGTGTAACATGAGTAGCATCCATGTAGGGATCCTGCTTCAACCGTACATGTGTTCTGCGATCGTCTCGTGTAGATTTGCAGGTTACTAATGGATAGCTGGATAGAAATGCTTGTCCCAGCTGATGTTTTTGCGATGATATTGTTGTTCTCGTTGAGTATGATGATGTTGTCGCTTGACAGTGGAAGAGTACGTGATGCGTTGGTGAAGTAGCTGGTTATGTCTCCC